TGGGGTAATTTCTTGATTGTCTGCCAAGACCAGGTATTAGTTAAAACTCAGCAATTTTACTTTATTTAATTATTTTTAATCATTCCATTTTTGTAACATTTTTCAGACGAAGCACGGGATTTATCCGATAACATAGTCAAGGAAGTAGAAACTAACCTGTTTTATGCATGTACTCTATTAACAGAGATGAAAGTACGATTAGAAAATTTGTAGAGAGGAAGACTGAAAAAGTTTCTCAAGTTGGATATTTATGTAAGATTTTCGGTGACCTGTGCGAAGAATTTAGCGAGCGACTAATCCTAATCAAAACGTCAGACGATAGCAAGTATTTGTTTTGTCACTGTAAGCGAATAAGAAAACGATAATTTTTCAGTGTGAGGGACAGGAATATTTTCTTGTTAATTACACATCTGCTTTTAAGTGTACACTAAATTTTCTATAGAAAAAATTCTTTTGAAGTTTGACGTACATGTTTTTGAATTGTTCTTTAAATCAATGGCGAGTCTTTGAAGACGATGAAAATGTTGCACAATCAGGTATACATTGGTTGCATATTGCTCACCATGAATGACTAAATCTTTAACCTTTCGTGTGTAGTCTGAACCAGTCAGCATGGAATTCGCTATACTTGCAGGAATGACAATTGAATGTAAGTCGCATGGAATTGTATGAATTACTACATACTCAGATAGTTTATCTAGTAAACATGTTATTCGAATATAAGTTGGCCATGTTGACAGCAAAGTATCTACTTCTATAAGTGATTCGGAAAAGTAATAAATTATGAATAAATGAATTTCGACAAGTGATGAAGGTAAATTTTGAATGAAATTCTGTCCATTAACAAGATGTTCATCTTCTGTACGTAGATACAATGCTAATCGCTGCAAAAATGGCATCTTACTCAGGATGTAAGCAATTTCGTCTAATGACCAATACGTATTTATAGAACGTAACTCAAAGTCTTTTAGATAAACAAGAGATGATACATTTGTCAGTGTCGATTTTGAAGCAAATGATAATTCATTAAAGTTAATATGTAAACGATTAATATGTGGTATAAGTATGAACAAATGTCCTAAAGATTTATCTGTTTCTAAGTTCACAATCAGCTCTTCGATGTTTGGATAAGAAACAGCTTGGTCATTGCTTGTCGTTGTCACAATAAAACCGACCGAATCATAATCGAATGATATGGATTTCAACCGATTATTGTTAGCAGCTAGAAGTTCTTTAAATGATTCTTCTGTATTATCACCTTGAAAATTTGTAAAATCAAGCTTGACAAGTTCTAAAAGATCTACGATTTTGTCAAGGAATTTACTTAGTTGTCTATCGATGAAGTACACGAGTGACAATTTCTGTAATTGTGGAAACATTAAAGATAACTTCGAATGAAAGAATCTTGAATGTGGTTTGTTAAACAAAATATTCTCCCATAGTCCATTGAACACAAATGATCGTATCGCTAAACCAATTTGAGGAACGATTTGCATCGCAACAAAGTCAAAGTGTTTATATGTAGCACCCATGAGATTCACATGATGACAGAAGTCACCTATGATCGAATTGAGACGAGAATTCAGATTGAAAAATGAATAAAAAATTTCAGTACTATGAAGATACTGACATACATGTAGTATCATTTCATCTGGTAATCTTTCGAAAGTTAAAACTTCTTCCATTCAGAACGGCCAATTCAGTATTATGTTTGATAAGTAGAAGATACGTGAAATAATTTTTGATTAAATAGCGAAAATGCACTAAAAATATTGAATACAAACTGACTCCGATGGAAAAAATCAAGTTGTGAAACATGAGTGTCGAAAGAAAAAAAAAGTCACGTGTTCTTTTGTGTATGTGTTGTGTCAATGCAAGGGAGAAAAATGATTAGATTTGCATAGTCAGGGTGATAATCGTGCATATGAATATATGATGCAAAAGTGAATGTACGGATGAATTGTGGCAATAAGAATGTAGGTTTCAATGGGACGAAGACCCAGATCGACAACCCACATCCACATCTTCTCTGTATTATCTATTTTCTTTTTTCTTTTGGCTTCTCCTATAGGGGTCCTTACTCTACGCGAAATAGTTAGAGGTGAAAACCAAATAGTGTCAAAAATGTTCCCGTTGACAGTAATGATAAGGGTGTGGGTGTGGGTGTGGATGTGTGTGTGTGTGGCCCATGTAAAAATTTTTTGCAATTTAACGAAGTTTTGTGACGTGAAAATTCGTTAAAAATTTAACGATTTAACAAAATTTAATGTTACCTTTCTGACCCTAAAAACGCGTTAAATGCGCGAAAATTTAACTCGTTTTCTTTCGTTAAAGAAAGGATCGTTTAACGCGTCTTTCTGCGTTAAAAATAAGACCGTTTAACACGTCTTTCTGCGTTAAAAATAGATCGTTTAACGCGTTTTTCCTCGATAAATACTCAAGCTGATGCATACGTTACTGTTCAGAATTTTTTATACATTGTTATTGATCGCAAGTGTGATGAACTTTCCTCAACGATTAATATCTTGCTAAATTTTATTTATGGACGAATAAAACTTTGGAAGATATCGACCATTGGAGAAAGCTCATCATATTTGCGATCAATAGCAATGTATAAAAAATTCTGAGTAGTAACGTATACATCAGCTTAAGCATTTACTGAAGATGAACAAGTAACGTTTCTCATATTAGATGTGAATTCTATGAGCAAAATAGGCAACTTAGTTTAACTCGATAATAAAGAACCATGAAAAGTTTCAAGTCCAGCTACATAAAAATTTTTTTGAGCTTTTAGAAAAATTTGTACGTTCACTCAACTGTACAGCTATGCTTATGCTGTTACTAAATGTTTGTCATCCTATTTTCTGTACTTTTATAGTTAATTCTTTCTTACCTAAAAGCTATCACAAAAAACAATTAACTGTTTTTACTTTTATATGGATCTATTCTGTCATACGAACCAAATCGGAATAAATTTAAAGTGAACAGCACAGGAATATGTATAAGTTCTAAGCGCTTGTAAATCATATTATAATTCAAGTAGGAAAATTAAAAAACTCTACATGCGAAAACGAATGCAATGTTTAACGATAGTTATCACGATGAAGCTCGTTAAAAATAAAAGCACGCAAGAAACATCGTTAAATATCTTCACGCGTGTAAACGAACCTAGCTTTCCATGATAGTTAACACGATATAGCTCGTTAAAAATGAAAAAACGCAAGAAGCATCGTTAAAAACTTCACGCATGAAAACGAATGCAATATTAAACGCCATGCAACGAGTTGGTGACCGTTAAAAATACAACCACGCGTGAAAAAGCGTGAAAAATCTAACGCGTTTTCACGAATTTCCCTAACTTACCAAAAATTTATGAAGCTTTCTTCGTTAAACTTCGTTAAATGCATATTTTATTTTTATATGGGAGATGATGATCGTTAAAAATACAACAACGCGTGAAAAAGCGTGAAAAATCTAACGCGTTTTCACGAATTTCCCTAACTTACCAAAAATTTATGAAGCTTTCTTCGTTAAACTTCGTTAAATGCATATTTTATTTTTATATGGGAGATGATGATCGTTAAAAATACAACAACGCGTGAAAAAGCGTGAAAAATCTAACGTGTTTTCACGATTTTTCCTAATTTAACGAAAAATAATGCAGCTTTCTTCGTTAAACTTCGTTAATTTGTCTCTTAACGCAAGTTTTGACGTTAATTTCAACCCTCTCTTCGTTAAATGCATATTTTATTTTTACATGGGGGGTGTGAGTGTGGGTGTGGGTGTGGGTGGGTGTGGGTGGGTGTGGGTGGGTGTGGGTAAAGAGGTGATTCAAACCCACACCCACACCCAATTTTTGTAAATCATTCTATTTGACACTTTTTTGCAGAAAAAAATTTTAATAAACTATAAAAATTCTCGTAAATTGTCAAACAAGAAAAAAGAGAGATTTTCAACGATTGAGAAAGACTTCCGACCCCTCTCCGTCAGGATACTACGCCGTATATCACAAATTAGAAAAGAAAGAAGAAAAAAAGTTGTTTGAAAACAGACGTATTGAAGTGTCACAGCTAAGGTAAGAAGTCACTCAGTCCAAGAAGAAAATATATCACAGAGCGAAAAAATTAGAATAATGACCATATGATCACTTAATTTAAACAGTGAACATAATGAATCCAATTATTCGTGTTTCTAATGTTTATCTACGTATATATTTTCAACTCATGAGGAAACATATTCAAGTGTAAGTCTCAGTTTCGTACAGAATATATACCAGTGTGTAGAGCTTGGCGAGCTGATTCTCACAATATGTTCCGTTTTTCCTCATATAACTTCAAATGAGAAAAACTAATCGATTTTCCTAGTGAATTTCTTGGCTTTTGATGAGTTTCGAGACAGCAGTTACGAATTGGGCACTCCAAGAGTGCATAAAGTTTCAATCGTCATGTTAAAATAAGGACAATGACTCATGTGATAGTCTATTATTATAGAATTTAAAAAATAGGAAAATATAATTTTTTTGTTAAACTTCTTTCCACCATCGTTATGAATATTAATATGAGAATTGGTACATTTGGAGATATTTTAGTAGTCCTAAGAAAAACTTTGTTATGTCTCTGAAGATTGAAGCTTAAATTCTGTTTAAAACATTATAAAATAGGCTGTCACATGCACCATTGTCTGTATTTTAATATAACGATTGAAATTTGATGCACCTTTAGAGCTTCAAAATTGTAGCAGCTGTCTCGAAACTTATCCAAAGTGAAGAAACACACTAGTAAAATCCATGAGTTTTTCTCAATTAAAGTTCTATGAGGAAAAACAGAACATACCACGAGAATTAGCTCGTGCAGCTCTATACGCTGATATACAGCCCGTTCGGAACGAAGACTCACACTCGGGTATGTTCCGTCATCAATGGGCTTCTATTATAGAGTGGGCTTTTATTCTGGGCAGGGATTTATATGATACAAAGAAAATAATTGTACATCATAATCAGTTTATTCGATAGAGAAGTGTTGCACTCGATTATTCCTCATGTCGACAACATAGAGATGACCATGTTGATCACAGAACAAACCCTCAGGAGAGTTCAACTGGTTTGCTCCTTGTCCTTCATCGATTCCACCCACAATGACGGTGCCCTGATTTGATTCTCTAGGCCAACGCATCACTCGATCATTCCCCAAGTCTGTTACATAGATGGTACCCAATGAATCAACAAACAGTCCATTAGGATTCGACAATTGTGTCAGAGCTTTTCCTTGTCCGTGACCTCCAGCGACGACAATGCCTTCTTTTGTACCATTGTTCCATTTCATCACACGATGATTTTCGTTGTCTGACACGTACACGGCCTGTTGTTGATCGACAAAGACGAAAGTCGGATAGTTTAGTTGATTGAGACCATCACCTTTGCCATGGCCACCAGCTACGATAGTTCCATTCTTGTCTCCTAGTTTATATCGTCTTACTACATGTTTATCGGTATCAGATACGTAGAGATATCTCTGATTATCCAGGGCCAATCCAAAACAACGAATGTTGTCAATGAGAATTTCTCCTTGAGTTGTATCACTACGACGAGACCACCGTACGACTCGTCGATTCTGCCGATCACAGATAATGAGACTATTCGTCTCTTTGTCAACCAACATATCAGTTGGATAATTCAATTGATCCAACCGATTTCCTGAAGCATGGCCACCAGCTATCACTTGTCCATTGGCATCACCTATTTTCCATTGGATGATGCGATGATTCCACGCGTCAGCAATGACTATTGTTTGATCATTATCAACGAAGATACCAAAGGGCCCGTCAAGTTGATTGATAGCATTGCCTGCTCCATGACCTCCAGCAACGGTCACTCCGCTTTGTGCCCATTTGGCATCGACTGGAATATTGGAATTCACTAAAATGAATGCAGAATGAAAAGCAATCGTCATCGTTATCGCACAAACGTCTCTCTTCTATGGGAAAGAGCTGCGAATTCTTCAATGAAACATGGAATATTCTTCAAGAATGCCTTTGCAAGTGTTCTTCCCAAATATATTCCGATAAAAAAAAACATATTTGTTGTGAAACCTACAAAGGCTTATCGCACAGATATCATTTAATAAACTCTTTTGGTTTCTTGAAGGAATGGTTTCGAACAAACGACTTCAAAGTGATTTATACACGTATGCCACTCCATGAGTAGACTCCTCCATTAATGCAGATATGATTATTATACTTACCACCACAGATTGAAATTTTGTTTATAAATGATGTAGGATGTTCTTGGATTGAAATGTTTGATACTTGATTAAGTTCTTTTTCTAGTTTTTCTAGTTCCTTTTTCAATTGATCTAAATGAAATTCATTAAAATCATCTTCTTGCAGAATTTGTCGGCAATCTGTAATCAACTTATTCAATTCCTTTTTTGTCACAACAATATTGTCAACCGTGAATTTAATTGATATTTGTCTACATTCCTCAGCTGTTTGTTTTATCTTGTTAATGGAGTCTTTTTCCCATTCATCAATTTGTTGAATTAATACACGTTGATTTTGATCTACTTGTTGTTCAATAAGTTTTTGTTGAAATGCATCACAATCAGTGATAATTTTGTCTAATTCTATGCCATGGTTTTTATGATGTTCTGTTAAATCCGTCAAACAAAATTTTTGTGAACATCCTTCGCATAGATATACGACTTTATCTTTATCACATTTAAAACATTTTGCTTTACCAGTTGACGTTGTCGTTGCCATGTATTGTTTGTTACAACAACAATTTATGTATGTTTGAGATTATCGACGAAAATTTAAAAAAAAGGTGAATATATGGAATAAACGCATGGCCGTATAAAAGAAAAAAATGAGTCAATGCCAATAGACGTCAGTAGGAAATAATAGAATGAAAAATTTTATTTTTGGACATCATTTCGTAGGTTTCTTCAACTTTCATTAATTTTTTCTCTGTCATAACATCATAAATGATAATATTCTGTTTAAAATGGATCTTATAGTTTTTACACAATCAAAAGCTTTTTAGAAAAAATATTTGATAGATGTCCTTGATTATTAAATGTTGTTGTGCATAATTTAAAATTGTTTACGATGATTATTTAATCTATCTTGCATTGTTGTTGAACGCAATATAATGAATGGACAAATACTAATGATTCTATTCTCTGAAAGAATTGTTATATGTGTAGACGTGTGGGAGTGCAAGGAAACCCATATCCTTTACATTCTTATCAGGGCTACCAGATCTTTTGAAAAATCAGGAAAGTTTCTAAAATTTGAACATTTTTCTGATTTGTTGCCGAATTCCAAACGTTTTTTAGATTGTGGCTTTACTACGAAATTAATTACGACTATAACTCATTAATATTATAGATCCGTGTTGTGCTACCTTCCTTCCTTTGTTAATCTTTAGTCGTTTCTGAGTTCTGCAGCCACTGACGAATACTTTAATATATCAGTAAATTTTTGCGTTGCTGAACTTAAGAATGAATCCTAATTATTTTTTTGAATGACTTTGTGAGCATACTTTAGCACAAACGCATTTATTGGAGGAGTTTTGAACAAAGGAAAACTTGAAAAATAATATGGAATTCATGTTCTATAACCTTTATTATTTTTCCTAAGATTTTTTGATCTGCATAGTGTTTATATATATATATATATGATTTGTTTGCGTATATTCTTTGTAAACAAAGTTTTGCAATTCGTAAAATAGTCTGACACTAAGTGTCTTTTGCTAGCTTTAAAGACATGTAACTGCAAACTACGAAGATTGGTCAGAATCAAATCAAATGAATACTCTCACTCATAGACTAATTAGCTTAAAAGATGAGCTGTCAATAGCGTACGTACATCGAAATGTTTAAATTTCAAGATGTTTCAGTTTGTTATGCGCTCAAACTAGGAAACTTCATCAACGCTTAGTTTTCTTTTTTCATTATGGTTGAATGAAGCACGACTATTCACAAAAAGAGAAACAATATCACACATATTCAAAAGCAATTTGACAGCAAATAGAATTTTTTGTTTATTACCCTTATAAGTAAAAAAATATTGTCCTAGACTTCGTCAAATTTGCTTTTTAATCTACGAGATATTGTTTTTTCTTATGTGAAGGGTCGTGCACCATCCAACCATGACGAAAAAAGAGAATGAAGCGTTGATGAAATTTCGTAGTGTGAACACATAACAAACTGTAAATTTCTTGAAACTCGAATATCTCGGTCTGTATACGCTGTTGGCAGCTGATATTTTTAATTAGTTGGTTTGACAGTGAGAACATTCATTTGATTCGACTCTAATCAATCTCCTTAGCTTACACTACACGATCTTTTACTCTAAGCTATATAATGTTTGTGTTGTCTTTCTTTAGTATGAAATACTTTTGGAAATAAAGTATGAGTCGATAAACAAATGAAGTGAAGCATTTTGTGCAAGTATGTCCACATGATAGCCTTTGGTTTGCAAAAAGTTACTCTTCTTGATTAGTTCCCGATTTCGGAGAAAAAATTCTGATTTTTTTCTGATTTTGAAAACAAGAACTTCTGATTTTTAAGTCTTTTATCTGACAACTCTGATTCTTATATTTTACTTGGATCTACATATAGGCAAAACTTCGTTGAAACCCGTGACATCAATTGATCAGAATTACTTGTCCTTATTGTGCAATGCCTCTTAAGTATCACAACTTGTATCAGCAGCGAACATAAGTATAGTCATTATATAAAAACTTTTGAATTCTATGACAAGCATGGCTGCCTTCCTATTACAATAGATAATAAGCCAATGATTTACAAAAATCCATTTATATCGATCAATGATATGCATATTTCATCTCTTTTGATACTGTTTATCTGTAGCATTTGCATATGTACGTAGTTTAATTCCTGTTTTATTGTTGTATAAAGCAGTGCCCCCAATTATATAGCTCTCAACATATTTCTTATAACATATCAACAAGGAACATGACAAGTTCTGTGTCATATATACTCCGAATTCATGAGGACTTCGCCATATTATATTCTGGTGCTTCTCATAAACTATCCGGATTATGTTTTTTTCGTAATGAATCGAACTTTAATTTTCCTGCATTTTATCTTGGATAAAAAATATTCCATAAGGTATAAGATATCAATCCATAAAATAATTACTATGCATCAAATTCGATATCTGTGATATTCATACTTGAAATAATGTGGAGTAAATGATCAGAAGTTTAATAAACATGTTGAGTTAAAAATTGCAAAAGTAAAAGTATATTTGCAATGAATGGATTAAATAGAATAACTAGTGAGTCTTGCTACTATTGAAGTATATTTCATATGAAGAAAGGTGTGAATATAGATGTCGAGATGAAGAAAAGATCGACTTCTACAGCTACATCCAAATTTTTTCTCCATAAATGGATTGCTTATTAGCCTGAATAAGTAAATATTATTAGATAATACTATCTGGCTCCTACGTTCGGATTAGCTATGGCGTTAAATGGTAAGTGTAACAGTTAGTTCTATATTCAGACTTGTTATGCAACAAGTAACGCGACGCAAACGTCGCTAACCCTCTACTGAAAGGAACTATGCTATCATGCATACCCTGTGTGAATAAAGAGCTATAGGCCAGAGATCTCAGACTCGCCGAGTTTTCCCGCCTCGCCGGAAAGCAAGACGAGGCAGGATTTTCCGCACCGCGACGAGTGCGAGTTGATTTCGAGACCTGCCGAGTAAACTCGGCTACTTAAAATGCAATTGTTAGCGATTAAATAGTAAATCATTAATGTTATCTGCCGATTTTATTGTTCACTTTCGAAAGAATTTCTATTGGTGATGAAATCAAACTAATGTCGGCGCTAGAATGAAAGAGTGGTGGATATAAATTTAGTAACTCAACAACGGCAAGAGCTACCGAACTGCGGTTTTCACCAATCGAAAGAAGAGGAGTGGGCACGTCTTTTTTTCTGATAATGTATAAGACGAAATCCTTTTAAAACTAAATATATTCGAGAAACCTGAAAAAAGAACCCATGAAATGACCTCGCAGCTAGTTGAAATTTTAATTTTGACCTTTGATTTAGATAGAGAGACTTCAGATCTATAGCTCAAAATACAATACAAATGGTTGTCTTATTATATTTTAACGCTGAGCAAACGGGATCATGCACTTACATGCGCAAATAATAGGGTATTTTGCTGATTTTTTCGCAATTTTTCCACTATTTATCCTAGTAGCTTGAGATTTCGATGGAAATGTAAGAAAAAGTAAGAAAGCGCATTGTGTCTTGAACTATAGATCTGAAGTCTCTCTATCTAAATCAAAGGTCAAAATTAAAATTTCATCTAGCTGCCAGGTCATTTCATGGGTTCTTTTTTCAGGTTTTTCGAATATATTTAGTTTTAAAAGGATTTAGTCTTATACATTATCAGAAAAAAAGACGTGCCCACTCCTCTTCTTTCGATTGGTGAAAACCGCAGTTCGGTAGCTCTTGCCGTTGTTGAGTTACTAAATTTATATCCACCACTCTTTCATTCTAGCGCCGACATTAGTCACAAAAATAAATGAATATGAATATTTACGTAAACATAGTTATCTATTTGGTGTGTCGAATATTTTGATTTAGGTCCCAAACAGACTGACTCAATTCAAAGTGAATTAAGACACATGATTGGTCTTACCATGTAATGACGTCAATAACATTGGTTAATTGACTTTAAATTAAGTCACTCTGTTTGGAGCCTTACACAATTACCATTGTGAATTTAACTAATATGACCTTTTATTATGTTAGCTAGTGGAAATTTTTACGATAAAAGTTTTAATCTAGATACGTATTATTGCTCGGCAAACTATTGTTCTTCTTCTGATCATATTATCGATGTAACAGAAGAAACTTGTTCAGATTCTCGCACTGCTGATCATATATCATCAGATATTTCTCGAATGTCCTGTAGAAGAATTTATAATTGATATATGCGTAACGATGGAAATCTAACAATAGTCGAAAATAGGAAGAAACATACAACAAGTTGCTAGTCTCGGTTTGGTTTTCCAGCTGTTAGTGACAATTAAAGTGTTGTGATGATAAAATTAAACAACCTTGTCTCATGTAAACATCACTATGTAACATATATTCTTACAATAATAATAGCACCTCGCAAATGAACAAGTACATTTGTGGATGTTCACCAATACGATCTTCAAAACACTCTGATACAACGTCCTCATCACTTTTAAAACAAAAAATGTTTTCTTTCACCTGTAATCGCCGAGAATCGGTCAAAATAAGCGAAGAAAAAAGAAAAGAAAAAGAAAATCTTCTTATAGAGTGGTTTTGTACAAATGTCAGACTATACTCGACGGTTAAAAATCAAAGACTTCAACTTTTTGTTCAACAATGTATTTCTTTGGGTATTGCATAGCCTATTCTTAAATATTCTTTTTCCATTCTCTTATTTTACTCTATAGAGGCAAACTATGGAAAATTCATGTAGATAACGTATTTTTTGATGATAATACTATTTCGTCTCACGTTGAAATATTAGCTAATCAATATAGATCTGAATTTTGGCAAAAACGCATTGAACCATTATCAATGCATTATTTATTCGTATCTCATTTTGTATTTTTGTTTTTTGCACTTATCTATATGTATGAAATGCACTTAACTTGATCAAAAGAAATAAGCTAGATAGTGATTATTGTGGTTGGTCGAAGAACTTCCTTAAAAAAAACCGTTTTTATAATAGATC